AGCTTTCCCCTGCTCGTGGGTAACACGTACGGCTCCGAAGAAATTTTGGCGGATAAAATTATTATCGCAGGAACCGCGTGAGCTAGAAGGCCGAAATTTTGTGAACATGTACCCTGCCCACGCGCAACCCAGAAAGTTTAAATTCAGCCTTCTCCTGCGCGGGGCAACACATACTTCCCCGTAAAAAGTTTTGGCGGGGAAATTATTATCCTGTTCACGATGGAATCTAGGAATCTGAAATCTTAAGGTAAATGGGTAATGGCTCCTTGCCCGCGCACGTTCTTGCAAATTCAAACTCAGCTTTCCCGCACGCTCAGATATCACATATGGCTTCGTGGAAGTTTCGGCGGGGGAAATTATTATCTCTGGAATCACGAAGGTTGAGAGTCTGAAATCTTAGGCGACATCCCCAACCAACGTGAGACCTCCGCAAATTTGTATTCAGCCTTCACGCATGTACAGCTCCGTGAAAGTTTTGATAGGAAAATTATCTCGCAAACTGCAAAAGCTAAAAAGCTGGAATTTTATCGTGGCATCCTCTGCCCACATACAACTCTGCAAATTTTCAACTTTCTCGTGAAGGTTTTGGCGAGAAAAATCATTATCTTGAAAGCCAGAAGGGTTAGAGGGGTAAAAATTTCAGGAGAATTTTTCCTGCCTAAGCAGGGGCTTTATAAACTGGAATTCAGTTCCCAAGTATGCCGAGGTCTCAAGTACGATCGCCTAAAGGTTTTGTCTTAAAGATCATTCGAAAGCCAAAATATTGGGAGATTGAAGTTTTGGAAGGATATTCACCCTTTGAGGTTTTAAATTTCGCTTTCACATGCCGAAACGTGAAACTTTTAACTGTTTTTCAACACTTCAACTGTTTTCACAAGCCAAAGTACAAAGCAGTGAAAATCATTAATAGGCAATTGTTCGGTGGATGGAACTGCACAAAACGCATGATCGCACCGACTATTCTGGTGTGCGCAGCTATTTATTAATTCAGCAAGTAGAGAACCTGAGCAGGTAAGATATGGTGAGGACCTTTTTAAGAGTCCTCAGCAACATCAGTAACAAGGAGCGACTGCTCGAGCGGTCTTGAAATCATTGGAATTATTGTTCCTATTATACGGACTTTCTGTATAGCAGCAAGCGCTATCATCGCATTTTGTCTTCGTGATGATATGCCAGTAGTTGAATCAAACTCAGGCAAGTTTTTTTATCGCAAAATCAAAGGAATTACAAACTTGTAAGTTTAAAAACACAGTCCGGAACCGCCCGAGAAGCAACAAATTTAAAATCAACATGCATTCTTTTTCTGCAACTGTTCCCTCAAATACAACAATTTGGGTGAAAATTGCTCTGGTGTCTTATTCCTCTGCCTTGGTATCTTATTCCACTCACAGCACTAAAATTTACCACATAACTGTGCCTACCAATGGAAATACACAAAAAATGTTAGAGCTGAGTTAAATGTTTTGGTGCATTCTTTTGTTTGCTGTAATCATAGAACGGCAAGCCCATGTAATAGCGAACGGGCTTGGCAACAGTGTGATTGCGGGAAAGGATATTGCCGCTTCTGATACTGCTTTCAGTGACTGGAATGCTGGGATGAGCGCGATTATCGTTTTTATTTCCACCACTGTTTTGATTGGCGCTGCTGTCGTTTTTGCGAAGATCGAATGGCCGACCAAAATGAATGCGAATAAACTTCGCTGTATTATTGTGTTTATCGTCCTTCCTGTTGATACCGCTGCCACTGCTTTTCTCCGGCGTTCCCAAACCTGTGGTTACGGAGTCACGATGAGGGCTGTTGCTGTTATCACTGCTGGCAGGAAGTATGCTTAAGTGGATGCGAATGAATTTCAAATCATTGTTTGCATTAGAAGCTGAGGCATTTGTTCCTGGCTTGGCCGTTGCTTTGGCTTGTGTTGCCAATATAGCAAAAGAAGCAAAAAGCGTGCAGTGAATAACAACTAGCATAATATCGCAAATCATAAAATAGTACACGTTAAGCAATATTAAATTTTTGTCCAAAATACTTTCGGGCTGAAATTGCACTTCCTTGGCCAAGTAGATCCAGACACTAAAACTCTCTTTATGCATAAAAACTGTAACGAACAACAAAGATGCTGGATACCGACGCATTCCTGCGCACTTGCGCAGTGCTGTAAAGCAGCACTAAAGTGGTTGGTAGTTACAGTTTGATACACGCATTTTAGCTTCGAATGTTTCCCTGGTCGTTCTTTCCACGTGCAGACGCTGAAGCTGTGGACTGAGCCGGTGATTTCTGCATTGTGGGTTCTTGTGAAAATTGAGTTTTCTAACATGTCTGATTGCTTTGAGAGCAGAATGCCAAAAATTTTCCAAATTTTCAAATTTTCTATGTCAAAATGGCCACACACGAGGCACAACCTTACGTGAAAACTTAATTCTCGCCTGCTGGACTGCATATAGACAACCAATATCCGCATAAAAATCCATTTTTCTACTGGTTCTGTTCTCTAGTTGAACAATGCTAGCAGTATTCAAATTTAAAATTCCATTTGCTCATCGCTAAATCCGGGCATAGCACGAAGTTATGTTTAAAATACTCAAGTCGCACACAGGCACAGAAGACCTTGGGATTTTGAAATCTCGGGTTTTTTGTCTTGTGTGGTTCCCAAAGTCATTTTTATGTCAAGACCTAAAATTTTCTTTCAAGCATTCATAACTGAAAAACAAAAGTACGTGAAAGTTTATTTTACGTTCATGGGGTCGAAAATGGACAGGAAAATCCTAGAGAAATTTAAGCTTCCCATCACTTTAGGATTCCGACTCAAAAATGAGTGACAGCATATGCATATACACACAGACACACACACCGACAATTCGTCAAATCCTGTTTTTAATTGCAAGAACTATGTAGAAAAGCATAAAAAAACGATAAAGGAGGGCTATTTGTTTCATATGGCGGAGATGGCAGGAAAAGAATTTAGAGTGAGAAAAGACTTTGAGGCTCTAATTTAACAAGCAATGCGGATTAGCTTTTGAACTCCTCGTTCTGATCAAAAGTGTGAGGTTTTCTATTCCATTTCCCCAACTGCTCATTGTAATTTCTCTAAAAAGACGTAGCCGCACTAATTCACATATTCGCTCCACTAGTTCGTTCTCGAAACAAATGGAGCGCTAAAAGTCATGGAGAAATGGTAGCTTTTTTGAAGTGGACATCTCTTTGCACACCTGCTCCGCTTGATCCATTCATCAAAATTTATGCTTTTCTGCAATTTCATAAAAAGTTTTTTGCCAATAAAATTTAGCTTACTTTTATTGCACTTTATAGCAAGAGATAGCATATCAAAAGCTAGTAAGAAAATTTAAAGAAATTATTTAGATAATATAAATTATTGCACTGAAACCATTACTTTGGTCAGTTTTAGAATAGTGTACACTGAAAATTAGTTTCTTGTGCATTTTTGCTTAATCAAAGAATTATGTTGCAGTAAGATCATGCTTATACTACTGCTTGTCTTCGCAGTCAGTTCAGTTGAAAATAATACAAGACAGTAAGTAGTAATTTCAAGAACACTGTCCCAAAAGGGTATTGGTAGAACTGATGTTTAATTGAATTCCAAGCAGGTAATATTTATTGCGTCTATCCGCGGAGAGTATGCGAATCCGGACATTAATTTTACGTTCTCAAGCTCCAACATGAACAGCAAATATCCTCACAAAACTGTGGCTTTTTGATTAGTCTGATTACAGTGTTAAATGGGTACTTAAACCGTCTGAAATTGAAATTTATTTGCGCATAGTGCTTCGAAGCTAAATTTTGTAACCTTCAAGCCAAAAATAGGCAAAAATGAAATTTCAGCCTCCAGGCTCGGATGGTGAGGGCGACGGGGGAGGAGGCGATTGGGGCAACTTTCCTCTCCCACCTCCCCCACTCGCCACTATATCGGAAGGCCCACTTTCTCCCCCTCCTCCTCTCGGCGGTCACGCCTCCCCAACTCCCTGCCCAACGTTCCTAGCCTAGCTACAGTGACCGGGGGAAGGGGAAGTGAGGAAATGGGGAGGAGGGGGGGGGGGGGGGGGGAGGG